CGCCAGTAGCTGTGACTGGCATCCTCAGAGGTATCACACAGAAAGATGGAGGACTCTCTGTGTCACAGTTTTCGTAGAGAAAATGAACAAAGTTTGAGTCCAGTGGCACCTTTGAGACCAACAAAGTTTTGTTCTGGGGATACTCTCTGCTTTGCAGTCTTCAAGTATTTGAAGGGCTGTCATGTAGAAGATGGAGCGGATCTATTCTCTCTTGCTCCGGCTTGCAAGACGAGATCTAATGGGTGGAAATTACAAGGAAGTCGTTACCGGCTAAATATCAGGAGGGGTTGAGCAGTGGAACAGACTGCCTCGGGAGGCGGTGGATGCTCCTTCGCTGGACGTTTTCAAGCGGAGGCTGGACGACCCTCTTTCGGGTATGTTGTAGGTATGTAGGGCTATCTTTCGACTATGCTCCTGCAGAGTACAGGGGGCTGGACTAGATGACCTGCAAGGTCCCTTCCAGCTCTAACATTCTGTGATTCTATGACACAGAGAGTCCTCCATCTTTCCATGTTATACCTCTGAGGATGTCGGTCACAGCTACTGGCGAAACGTCAGGTCCTACAATGCCAAGACCACGGCCACACAGCCCGGAAGATCTACAACAGCTAAAGTCAGTATTGCCTACACAGGGTCTCAGGCGAAGAGGTCTTTCACGACACCTGATCCTCTTCACTAGGGATGCTGGGGATTGAACCTGGGGCCTTCTGCATGCTAAGCAGGTGCTCGACCACTGAGCCACAGCCCCTCTCTAAGATCATTTCCAGAGAAGGGTGATCTAGGGATCCCTCAGAATAACAGACCGGGGGACCCCCCGGAATTACAGCTCATCTCCAGACTACAGAGATCGGTTCCCCTGGAGAAAATGGATGCTTTGGAGGGTGGACTCTGTGGCCTTGTACCCCGCTGAGGTCCCTGTCCTCCCTAGGCTCCATCCCCAAATCTCCAGGAGTTTCCCAACCTGGATCTTGCAACCCTACCCCCCCCCCGTATGCAGATTCCTGGTTTCCCAGACTCAAAAGCCATGTTATCTATGGTTGCCAGCCTCCAGATGGGGCCTGGAGACCCCCTGGAGTTAAAACCGATCTCCAGCCAAAAGAAAACAGATCCCCTGGAGAAGATGGCTGTTTTGGAGGGCGGACTCCATAGTGGTTTAGGCATCTGAGGTCCCTCCCGTCCCCAAAAGCCTACCCTCCTCAGGCTCCACTCCCAAATCTCCAGGAAATTCCAAACCCCAGAGGTGGCAACCCATGCACCCTCTAAGCTGTGGAGTCCTGTGGGCAAAACTTCTACTTTGTGAGCTACGGGCATTAAAGTTGTGAGCGAGCGATTGGGCTGCTGCAGAAATTAGTCTGCTCCAGAGCCATCCTTCCTGAGCTAAGACAACAATGTGCGAGGCGGAGGCTAAAAAACTGTGAGCTGGCTCACACTAACTCAGTTTAGAGGGAACACTGGTGGCCAATGTTCCCTTTAAGCTGCGGAGTCTTGTGAGCAAAAATTCTGCTTTGTGAGCTACTGGCATTAAAGTTGTGAGCAAGCAATTTGGCTGCTGCAGAAATTAGTTTGCTCTGGAGCCACCCTTCCAGAGCTAAGACAGAGATCTGTGAGCTGGAGGCTAAAAAACTGTGAGCTAGCTCACACTAACTCAGTTTACAGGGAACACTGCTGGTGGCCAATGTTCCCTCAAAGCTGTGTAATCTTGTGAGCAAAAATTCTACTCTATGAGCTACTGGCATGAAATTTGTGACCGAGCGATTTGGCTGCTGCATAAATTAGTTGGCTCTGGAGTCATCCTTCCTGAGCGAAGACAAAAATCTGCGAGCTGGAGGCTAAAAAACTGTGAGCTAGCTCACACTAACTCAGCTTAGATGGAACGGGTGGCAACCCAAATTATTATAACTTTGATTAAAACCAAGGGTCATTTCGTAGAAAAAGAGGTGCAGGAGCTCATTATAATAACTTATTTGCATAGGCCACACACCCTGACATCACCGGAAGTGTGTCAGAAGGCAACACCCACCGCTCAGGCTCCACTGGACTCTTTTGGATTGGGGGGGGGGATACATGCAGATCTGCCCTCGCAGAGGAGGGAGAGCTTGTCCCTGAATAAACCTTGGCCTTAAAGGTGCCACTGGACTGTTTTGGATTGCTATTTGGGGGAGGAGCCTCTGCAATTTACCTGGCTGCTTCTTGCTCTGACTGAGGGCTGCTGGGAGCAGGGGGTGGGGCTTGTTGCATGTGCCCGCCCCCTGGGCTCTTTACTGCCGGAGCTCCGCTCCTGAGCGCTCCTGCAGGAAATGACCCCTGATTAAAACTCAACAGTCTGGCTGGAGGCTCTGGCAACTGGATCAGTTTTCCAGCCCCTTATCAGCTTTGGGCAGAATTGCCAAGTGGTGCTTCCTTGCAAGGCTCCGGTGCAGACGAAACGGGCTCTAATCCAGAAAAGCTTCTGCCACAGTCAAACTTTTCCGTTTGAATGAAATCTGGAAATTCAGAGAACCGAACTGACGATACGTCAGTTTCTGATTTCATTTTATTTTTTTAAAGCTCTGTGGTATGATATCTGAAGAAGTGTGCACGCACATGAAAGTTTATACCCAGAATTAAGCTCTGTTGGTCTTCAAGGTGCCTGACTGGACTCAAACTTTGTACTGTTGCTTCAGACCAACACGGCGACCCACCTGAACCTTGAGAAAATGGCTGCTTTGGAGAGATGGTAGAATACGTTGTGGAGATCTCCCCCTAGGCTACACCCCAAGATAGGGGGTTCCAGGTCCTCCCTGGCCAATGGTAGGGGATGGGGGGCAATGCTCCCTCTAAGCAGTGGAGCCTTGTGAGCAAAAATTCTACATTTGTGAGCTACCGGCATTAAAGTTGTGAGCGAGCGATTGGGCTGCTGCATAAATTCATTTGCTCTGGAGCTGTCCCTTCCAGTGTTCCCTCTAAGCTGAGTTAGTGTGAGCTGGCTCACAGTTTTTTAGCCTCCAGCTCACACATGGTGGAATGAGCTCCCAGAAGAGATCAGGGCCCTGCGGGACCTTTTGCAGTTCCGCAGGGCCTGCAAGACGGAGCTCTTCCACCTGGCTTTCAATTAGGAGCCCTCACCACCACCACCACCACCACCGTCTGTGGTGATGGGCCGGCCCCAGCTCTGAATCGAGCCATGCCATCGTGTGACGCCAGAAGATCACTGAGTCGGAATTTGTCTGCTTGGTCCATCGTGTAGCACGCCATCTCAGTTGATGATGGGACGATGATGAGGACTCCTAGCACTTTGTGTTCATCTGACTGAGCCACCCCGAGCCTGTTCGCATGGAGGGCGGGATACAAATGGAATGAATGAATAAAATAAAATAAAGGACTAGACCCAAGCACACTTCTTCTTTTGAAACTTGTGCGAATATGGCGGCCGTTCTCTCCCCCCCACCCCCGGCCCGTGGCTACAGTGGGGCATCTCAGGGCCCGCCCCCCACGGCCACACTCTCTCACCTCTCGCCGGCCGCACCGGCTGTGGCTGCGGGCCAAAGCTGGCAAGGCAAGACTCTCCCGTAGGGTTGCGAACTGCCAGGTGGCGGCTGGAGATCTCCTGCAAATACTACCAACCCCCCAGCCATGGAGATCAGTTTGCCAGGAGAAAATGGCCGCTTTGGAAGATGGGCTCTACGGCACTGTCCCTCGCTGAAGTGCCTCCCCTCCCCAAACCCCGCCCTCCTCAGCCTCCACCCTCCAAAAGCTCCAGGTGTTTCCCAACTTGGAGTTGGCAACTGTACTCACCCACCCGGTAGGCTGAAGTGTACTGGGGGCAATGTTCTCTCTAAGCTGCGGGGTCTTGTGAGCAAAAATTCTACTTTGTGAGCTACTGGCATTGACGTTGTGAGCGAGCGATTTGGCTGTGCATAAAGTAGTTTGCTCCGGAGCCATCCCTTCCTGAGCTAAGACAAAAATCTGTGAGCTGGAGGCTAAAAAACTGTGAGCTGGCTCACACTAACTCAGCTTAGAAGGAACACTGATGGGGGTGTGTGTTTGTTTTGTTTTGCATCAAGCTGCCTGGGTGGTGGTGGTGGTACGGATCAGTGTTCCCTCTCAGCTGAGTTTGTGTGAGCCAGCTCACAGTTTTTGAGCCTCCGCCTCACACATTTTTGTCTCGGCTCAGGAAGGAGGGCTCCAGAGCAAACTAATTTATGCAGGAGCCAAATCGCTCACTCGCCACTTTAATGCCAGCCGCTCACAAAGCAGAATTTTTGCTCACAGCAGGATGCCACAGCTAAGAGGGAACATCGGCAGGGATGCCAGTGGGACCCGGGGAATCCCCTGTGATCGCAGCATAAGCGTCCCCACTCAGGGCCGGCTCACCCACTAGGCGAACTAGGCATTCGCCTAGAGTGCCGGGCCCTGGATGAGGTGCCAAGCTGTGCCTCCCCCCCTCCCCCGTTTTGGGGGCGGCGGGGGGAAAGAGGCGGTGGTGGCGGCAGCAAAAGGGTGGCTGACTCCAGAGGTCCCCAGGTCTCCAGGCCCCACCGGGAGGTTGGCATCTGCGCCACGAGGCAGCCTCGCCTAGGGCGCAGAAACACCTCGAGCCGGCCCTGTCCCCACTGTCCCCACTGCCTACACCACGGGTGCCCCACAAGAAAATATATTAATATTTGTACTGTTGTTTACCTATTAGTTCTTCTGTAAGCCGCCCTGAGCCCGCCTTGGCGAGGAGGGCGAGGTAAAAAGCAAAGAAAGAGACAAGTAAATAAATAAAACGGCAAATCCCCCCCCCAAGCAAAAAATCCTGGCCGCGGCCCTGCCCCCTCCCCTCCCCAATGCCTGTGCGCTCCACCCGGCCCAGGCGACTGCGGGGCCTCCCCTTGGTTGGCGCCCGGCCAGCAGGCAGCCGGCTCCTCGACGGAGGCGTTGGGCGTCCGAGGGCGCGATGCCCGGCAGGCTCCCCGCCTCCTCCTCCGCCTCCTTTTAGCGCGACGCTGTCGGGGCCGCTTTGCACTGGCTCCCCTTCCCTCGCCGGGTGGAGTCGCGGCCAGGCGGTCGGGAGCAGGGCCGGGCCCGGGCACTCCTCTTCCCCTCCGCGGGCAGGCGCGGCCGCAGCAGCAGCAGCAGCAGCAGCAAGCGGCGCTCCCTTCGCCCCGCGCGCCTTTCGTCGCCGGCCGCGCCGCTTTGGCGAGGTGCTCGTCGCTGCGCCGGGGCGCGCAAGCCAGCCAGACCCGGCGGGTCCCTTCCCTTCGCCGGCCCGGAGACTTCGTCCCCAAGTGGGGGAAAGGAGGGGGTGGAAAAAAGGACCGGGACGCCGCTCCGGATTGGGGGACCCGCGCCCGGCCAGGCCAGATGGCGCACTCCAACGCCCTCTCCAACGGGCACCTGGGCGGCCGGCAGAAGCGCCACCACTCCGGCAAGCGCGACGGGCACAAGAAGAACGGGATCTGCAGGGAAGTCAAGGTGAGGCCGGCCGCTCCGGAGGGACTCCGCTCTCGCTGCGGATCTCGCCACCGGGGATTGGGGGGTGGGGTGGGCCAGCTGGGGCACTTCCACACGGCACTAAACGACAAGACGCCTTCCCTCCGCTTCCAGCGCATTTTGCGCCCGGATTTCACCCATGCCCAGTAACATCGCTTCTATCATTTGCAAGTGGAGTTGGCCATCTCGCACAGCGAAATCCAGTGGCAAAGCGCATTGAAAGTGGATTGAAGGTGCCTTATTTGGTGTGTCTGGAAACGTCCGCTGTGTGAAGCGGCACAATCCACTTGGAAACAGTTGCTAAAGTGGACGGGAACGGCGGTATCCAGCGTGCGTGAAAGCGGCCCCTTGGTTCTTTACGCGGCTTGGGCGTTCGTGCGCGGGGCGGCGCCGTGTAGACGGGGGCTTCGCCCGCTTTGGCACGGGTTAGCTTTGCTCGGTATAGGTTATTTGGTGTGTTTTGATCGGTCTTCGCCGTTTTTGTGTGTACGAGGTGTGATGGAATGCGCCCTGACCCGGCTGTGTAGGCAGGGCAGGATACCAATCTAATAAAATGTAAAAAACCGGTTCAGAGAGTTTTGGCACAGTGCGACCTCACCTTGATATTCCGGCCTAAAGAGGAATCCTTTTTGTTTTATGGGGGTCCCTTTCGCCCCCAGTTAATTCTACCCAACGGGGATTATCTCTCCATGCCTCTGAATTTTGCTAAACAGGCAGCAAAGCTTGTGTGGATCAATACCGCTGTTACCCAACGCCGTGCCCTACTTAGGTTCTGACAATTCAGATCCAACCCCTCCAAGTCACACCTGTTTTCAGAGATGCCTTTGGCTTCTGAAACGGTTTAGCTGGCTCAGACGGAAAGAAGACAATCCACGGCTTCAAAAAGAATTAAATAAAGCATCTCCTGATGGATGTCTTACTACGGGTTAAAGTTTGGATTCAGCGGCCCTCTTAAGACCAACCAAGTTTAATTCTGGGTGCAAGCTTTCGTGTGCATGCGCACCCAAAATTAAACTTTGTTGGTCTTTTTTTTTTAGAAAATGTGTGTGTGTGTGTGTGTGCACCAGGAAGTCATGGTGACTGATCCCTGCTGGGGGCCTGTAGGATATTCAGAGAGGCGGCTGAATAAAGCCTGCCCCCGCCTCCCACCTCTGGTATTCCAGAGACGTCTCCCTTCCAAGCGCTTTCCAGAGTCGACCCTGCTGAGCTTCTGAGATCTGAGGCTTGCCTGGGCTACCCCGGTCAGGGCAAACTTTGTTGATCTTAAAGGTGCCACTGGACTCAACCTCGGTTCTGCTGCTCCAGAGCAACGCGGCCACCCACCTGAATCTTACCACACGTTGACAGTGTTTACGAAGTGAGGCTAGAGGAAACTGCACTGAGCGTGCCGAATGTCGATGCCTCATTTTGCTTTGTAGAAATCGTTGTTAGGTCCAAACTGAGGTGTGGATGAAATAAAAGAGGGCTCCCGTGTTACTTTAGAGACCAACTGGCTTATTCAAGCATCCGCTGTCCGGCTTGCTTCATTTGATGCACGAGATCTACACTGGCTCCTGCAAGTTTGTGTCGGAGCAAATCTTGCTAGCAGGGCTTTTTTTTTTTGAGAAAGAGAGAGAGAGAGATATGCCGGATCTCTCAAGAGGGAAATGAAGTTGTCTAGCTGTTGTGTACGGAAAATTCATAAACTTTTACACATTTTAAACATAATTTTGTCAATGAGGTCCCGGAACTCTGCTCTGGCGCATTCCCCCAGAAAAAGAACCCCGCTTGTGAGTCTTTCAGGTGCATCTAGACTCCTGTTTTGGTGATATGGCCTAACACGGCTACCGATACGATCATGATCTTTCGGCTCTGCTCCTGCAGAGGGCAGGGGGTTGGACTAGATGACCCGCAAGGTCCCTTTCCAACTCTCACATTCTATGATTCTATGAAAAAGAAGACTCTGGGCTTCTCCTTCAGCCTCCTCCTCCGGTGTATCTTCTTCCTCCAGCTTGTTTTCTTCTTGACCGTCCTGTTTCTCAGATGCCACCCGGTAAAACAAGTCCTGGTTAAACTTTGAAAAACAGGCTATGTCAGGAGGGAGGGGGGGAGAGAGAGAGACACTCCTCTTGTGTAGGAAAGCCGCCTCTGACTTTGGAATTTTTACAACCGGCTTTAAAAAAAATCCTTCTTCTCTTTTCTTCCCCACTGAAGAGAGAGAATCAGATTAGCCCTAAAACTTTTTAATCATAGCAATAACAGTACAAATAAGAATAGATTGTGCGGCTGCTTTAGTAGAGTGGAGTAACCTTCATTCATAAGCTGGCCTGAGATAGCATCTGGCTCTTTCACTTTCTCAACCCTGCGAGGAGAACAGTGTGGTGCGGCTTCCCTTTTTCTTCCCCACTGAAGAGAGAGAATCAGATTAGCCCTAAAACTTTTTAATCATAGCAATAACAGTACAAATAAGAATAGATTGTGCGGCTGCTTTAGTAGAGTGGAGTAACCTTCATTCATAAGCTGGCCTGAGATAGCATCTGGCTCTTTCACTTTCTCAACCCTGCGAGGAGAACAGTGTGGTGCTGCCCGGCGGTCGACTTGGAGGAGTTCCAGACAACAAACACTTCCTCAGCCTGTTCCTGTGAGGCGCGAGGTACTTCGCCGTGCTCCTTAAGGGGACACTCCCTCTTGCCGGGCCCAAGGGGTGTCTTCGGGGTGGCTCTTCCTCCCTCCCTCGGCGGAGGGGAAATTGGGGAGGACTCGGAGAGGGCTTGTGCAACTGAAGGAGAGAGGCACGCGGGTCACCCTGATCAGGTTTAACCCGCCCTGCCGACATAGTAGCTTGGCGGGCAGTGGAAACATCGAGCGGGAAGGGATCCCCGAGGGTCATCTAGTCCAGCCCCTGCACAATGCAGGGAATTCACAGCTACCTCCTTCCCCCCCCCCCCGCACTCCCCTGTGACCCCTGCTGTACGCCCA